TGTTTTTTTATTTAAAAAAGAAACTTCTTTGGGAGATGCCTTAATAGCCACGCGAAATAAACCAAATATTATCATTTTGGACTTCCATTCAATGGACGGAGCGTAAAAGGCTTTTAGACTGCTTTATTGTTGGCTAATTTAGAAAGAAATTTTTACATTCCTATGCCACATAGGAAACCTTATTACCCTCAATATTTAAGGTTTGACTTGATTACACTTAGTATACCAAATTACCAATTCTATACCATAGTGTATTTTAAGGGTACAATTAATGCAGCGTATATCCCTCCTTAATTCAAGGTACCGTATATCCCACCCCTCCTACGTTTCTCTCTCCCAAACCCTCACCCTCACCCACGTTTATGTATATCATAACATCAGGTGACGAATCCTTTATAGCCTTCTGAGACAAAGCATCACCTGCCTGCATACGACGATTCAATTCCTCCAATTTAGCAAGAGCTTTGGCTTTCTGTTGTTTACTTCGTTCTTCCTCTTCTTTCTGTAGCTGTAAGGCACGTGCATACACGACATATGCCATCAATTTCATAGTCCCAATTCTCAAACAATATCAAATGCTATAATCTATTGCAATATTTCTTATTTTTATCACAATAATTGCGTTTTTTCAGAAGATTTTGTAGAAGTTTTAGTCGTTTTGGATTTGCGAAAACAGAAAACAATGCATCTACAATCAGAATACAAATAATCTACAATTCATCTACAAAATATTTACAAACTGGGTATATTGAATTTTAATATCCCAATTCCCATTCGATTGTAGTTTAATTGGGATTTTCGACATAATTGCGTTTTTTGCAGAAGATTTGTAGAAGTTTTAGTCGTTTTTGATTTGTGAAAACAGAAAACAAAGCATCTACAATTAGAATACAAATAATCTATAATTTATCTACAAAATATCTACAAACCGGGTACATTGAATTTTTATATCCCAATTCCCATTCAATTGTAGCATAATTGTAATTTTTGACATAATTGCGTTTTATCAGAAGATTTTTAGAAGTTTTAGCCGTTTTTTATTTGTGAAAACAGAAAATAAAGCATCTACAATCAGAATACAAATAATCTACAATTTATCTACAATTTCTGCAATATGTCTTCTTCTTCTTCTTCTTCGAGTTTCAATCTGAAATTCGGTCAAAACCAAGTCTAATCTTCACCAAAACCCCTCAAAATTGAGATATAAACTCCAAACCATTTTCCCGATTATTTTCAACAACACCCAATCCAAACAAATAATGATTTTTGAAAACCCAAATTTGAATTCAAAGCTTTCAAACTTTTTAATGGCTGTCAATGGTGGAAAATATCTGGAAGAATATTTACTTCCATAATTGTAGCGCGCCTAAATAGGAATATCTGGAAGAATATTTAGTTCTAGATTTGTAGTGCGCCTAATGTGGAAGGAATTAGCTCCTAATAATTGGTATTTAATGAATGATATATATTTTGTAGAATAACTGTGAATATAGCGGGTAAATATGAAACTATGCACATTTTTGGTAATAAGGTTTCATATATGGTATAGGAAGAAAAAAGTCTCATTTAGAAATAGTCTAAAAGTGAAGACTATTGAAATGACGTGGGCCAAAACAGCAATATATTGGAACTAAGTGGCTTAAGTATTAACAATTCTTTTTCAGAATGTTATGTTCACTCAATGGTCAAATTTATTTATCCCTTTATTTGACCGAAAACCATCAATATTATCTCTATTATATTTTCTATATGAAAAATACAATACCCTTAATATAATTTAAGTGATTCAAATATATTCCTCATCCTTTAAAACTATACAAGGTAGACATTGCTAGCAATCATATCATTTAAGAGAAAGTATATTTATTCTGAAAAGATAACAAAAGAAAGACAATTTTCCTGTATTTTTTCCCTGTCCAATGAAACATTGAGCTTATAGAATTAAATACAGTTGAGGAGACTTTAATAATAAGAATGAGTGTTTACTTATAAGGAAAAACTGATACGTGTGACGATGAATTTTCTGTAATGATTTGGTTTATTAAGTTTACAATAGTGCATAATATTCTCATTGTTCTGCTAAAAATTAAAATCTAAAAATAATAAGAATGAGTGTTTATTTCTTTTTACTTTGCTTGTCATAGTTAGATTTGCTATAAGATTTAATAGAAAAAAGGAAGAATTTTAAAATTTGTAGTCTTACAAATGCCATAATATTTGTGTGACTATTAAACTTGTGAAACTTGGTGATCTTAAAGTTAACTATGTCCTAATATTTGTATGGCTATTAAAACTTCTCATACAAAAATATTAAAATGTATCATTCTTTTTGCAATGAATATAAAAAAATAATATCAAACAAAGTAGGAGGGAGGGATGTCGTGGTTGTTAGTCTTTATACCGTACTTTCTCAAATCGGACCGGATCGGATCTTACATATCCATAAAATAACATGAAGTAGGGGTGTTCACGGTTTGACGGAAAACCGATCCAAACCGAAAACCGAATCAAACCGATTAAGTAAACCGATATTTTTTTTGATTTGGATTGGTTTTGGTTTTAAATTTTAAAAACCGATAATATCTGGTTTGGTTTTGGTTCTATTTTAAAAAACCGAAAAATAAACCGAACCAAACCGATTAATTATATACAAAATTTAATAATTATTTATATACAATATAATATCTTTTTGTTAATAATTTTAATTGTTATTTTGAATTTTGGTTTATCCTGTTATATCTTAAAAGATTGCCTAAGCCCAAAACAATAGGATTCGACCAATTTTCTTTTCATTAATAAACTCTAATTCTCTAACCTCCGCACATACTTTTGCCTAAAAGAAGAGTTACAAAAAAACCACCACAAGAGTAAAGAAAGCACATTCAAATTGCAAGACAACAATGGCTAAAGCTTGAGAAAACAAACTTTTAGTTTGTTTTTTGCTCATTCTTTTCATATAAAGATGTAAATAAACTTTCAGTTCTCAAAGAAATATATAAAAAGCATAAATTTGGCAAATTATTTTCAGATTGTTGTCTAGCGTTGTTTTAATATTATCGACTTATCATTAGCTTACTAAGAACCGAAAAACCGAACCAAACCAACAACAATCAAACCGATGGTTTGTATTTAATTTGGTTTTAAAATTTTAAAAACCGATTAAATTGGTTTGGTTTTGGTTTTAATCAAAAACCGACCAAACCGAACCGTGGACACCCCTAACATGAAGAATCAATTTAAATAGTCGCTTACTCAACTGCTTAAATTAAAAAAATCGACAGATGTATAATATGTCTATAACCATGTATAATTTATGTATACCGACTAGGAAAAATAAATAATAAATTCGAACGGCTATTTATGTAAACATACCAAACAATATTATGGGAGATTTTTAAAAATAGCCAGATTTACAACTGGTCGTTCAAAAATAGCCCAATTTCAAAAGTAATCGAAATTTAGCCACTTTTTATGTAAAGATAAATCTGAGCGAAAACACTGTTCAAAACCCGAAAAATATTCCAGTATATTATGCTGGAGTTCCAGCATAAGTATACTTGAACTCCAGCATATTATACTGGAGTTCCAGGATAGTATGCTGGAACTCCAGCATAATATGATGGAGTTCCAGCATAAGTACAGTAGAACTCCAGCATAATATACTGGAGTTCCAGCAAGTATAATGGTCCAGTATAATATACTGGAGTTTGGAGCACCAGTGCTCCAGTCTCCAGTATATTATACTGGAGCCAGCAAAGTATACCGGTCCAGCATAATATGCTAGAGTTCATACACAAGTGCACCGAACTCCAGTATATTATGTTGGACCGGTCTCTATTGCAGCAAAACGGTGGCTATTTTTCATTGACTTGGTAAATGCTGGCTATTTTTGATTGACCAGTCCGAAAACTGGCTATACCGTGCTATTTTTACCAATATTATAGTCATATGTTATGGCTAAAGTGTGAAAAGGAATAAAAACATTTCAAAAATTAGCACATACACCACTATCTGATAACTGGCGGACTAAAAAGCCAAAAGGGCGTGCGCCACATATATGATGAAATCCAGCTTTTTGGGCCCCCAACCTAACTTTTACTGGTGGCCCACATTTCATTTTCTTGCTTAGTGGGCCCCTTTCCATTAAAAACAGAGTGGAGCGGCAAAGCAAAAGGTTTTAAGAGATATTTCGAATCCAAGGCTACACTATGTTAAAGAAAAGGAGTTCTTTTTTAAGAAATTAAATTTATTACTATTAGACAAAGAAAAGAGAAAGTAAAGAAGCTCATTTCCACCAAATAAATAAATAATGCGTAATAATTATGATGGAGTGGTACGTACTCTATCATCATTAATCAGATATCTCCGAGTCAAGTTTTGAATATGAAGTTGTCTTTACTAGTGAGCGATTTGTCACCTAATACAGGATTATTCGGATTGAAATCGGATACAATCAAACTCCAATGTAAATTTTAAACATTGAATGAGAACCATAAAAAACTCTTTTCCTATTAATGTATTTTCATGTACAAAGAAAAGGGAAAGTAAAGAAGCTCTTTTCTTACTTTTATATTTTCATCATGTATTTCTACAAAGAACATGAGAGTTTAATTTGTGTTCAAAATAAAAGTTCTTTCTTCTTGTAAACTAATAAGATAAAGAAAATGATTATCAAAATAATTAAATAAATAAATCAGTATAAGAACAAGAATCCAGCAAATGTTAGCTGCTGAATGTGCAAAGCTTAGATTAAATTTTGTCAAAATGCTTTCATATACATTCTTTTTCTTTTCTTTCATTTATTTATTTGTTTCAGTTTATTCTTTTTCTTCCATATAATCTTTATAATTCTTTTTTACAGATTAAACTCTCATTTGGCCTCCCTTTCTCTCTATTCAGTCTAATTAAACCATTTTCCCTCTCTTTCACACTTTCTCTCTCTCTCTCTCTCTCTCTCTCTCTCTCTCTCTCTGTTGCCTTCGTCTCTCTTCTCCATTTTNTTTGCAACCATGTTACATAAAAATACCAACAAGATCACACTTATTCTTATCTATGCAATCTTAGAATGGACATTAATAATTCTACTTCTCCTCAACTCTCTCTTCTCCTATTTGATCATCAAATTTGCCGAGTATTTTGGCCTAAAACCACCTTGTCCATTATGTTCTCGAGTTGATCATCTGTTTGATCAATATGGAAATAGTAAAACTTTGCGCAAAGATCTTTTATGTGAAGATCATGTCACAGAGATTTCCAAATTGGGATTCTGTTCAAATCATCAGAAGTTGGCTGAATCTCAAGATATGTGTGAGGATTGCTCGTCCTCGCGCCTTGAGATTTCAGAGAATTCAGCTTTGTTAGCATGGATGGATGAGATTAAGTTGATTCAAAATGGTAAAGAAATTAGTGTGGAAAATGGTGAGGTGAGTGTGATGTGTTCTTGTTGTGGTGTGAATTTGGAGAGCAAATTTTCAACTCCTTATATTTTGATTAAGCCTTCTTTGGATGATTATTTGGCATATAATCAAAAAGGTAATTTGATTATTGAAGCAGCAGAAGATGATGATCTTATGGATAAAGGTAATGATTTTGATAAAGAAAGATCAGATTTTTCAATAGAAGAAAAAACTGAACATCAGGTTATGTCTGATGTTTATGTGCCTAATTCTGAGGTTAAAATGAAAGATCAAGCTGTTCAAGTTTGTGAGAATGAGGAGTTATGTTTTGAATTTTCTCCTCAGCATTTGGAATTCATCTGCAGTGGTGATAAGTTGGTTCCTATTGAATTGATTGATTCAACAACTGATGAAGATCATAGCAAAAACCAAGAAATGGAAGAAAATCATAAAAAGAGTGCCAAAGAATTTGAATTTGTTGTAGAGAACAAGATTCTTCAAGTGGAGGAAGAGACAGCAGTTTCTGAGCTCAAGAGTGAGGAGGAACCTGAATTTGGATTTCTTGAATCCATGGAGGTAGAAGAAGAAGAGATTGGTTTGGTTTTTTGTGCCAAAAAATGCAATTCAGTAAAGGAGAGTTATGAACAATTTGACAATACTCAATTGCTCCATGCACCAGCCAAAGATAATGTTCAAATTCTTACAGAAAGATTAAGGGAAGAAGAAGGTTTAGATGCTCAACAAGGTATATATATTAGAATACTTTTAATTTGGAGGCTAAAGCTTGTAGATTTGAGTATGTTTCTTGAGTTGTTTTTGTTTTACTTTTGTAGTTACAGAAGAGGATTCCCAAATGCCAGTTGATGGAACTGATGCAGAAGTTTTAGTTGAAACTGAAATTCTTGATTTGAACTTAGTAGATGAGATTCCATGTCAAGGAGCTCTTACTTCAGTTATACATGAAGAACCTTCCACAAGTTCTGCTGATTTCCATGAAGTTGATCAGCAAGGTATATTTCAGATTCCTTTCAATCTAAAAATAAAAGCAATTTTTTCCCTCTTAGTAGCTTAATTTTCCTTTCTTCACTGATAATTTTCTTAGCGCGAAGCAGAAAATGTTTTCTTGTCGTTGTTCTTAGATTGCTAGTAGTATGGCGGTTTTCTTACTATCTTCTGCTTCGGTTTTCTAGTATCTTGTCGTGGTTACTACTTGTTGCTATTGCCATATCGCTATTGCTTTCTTCCATCTATTTTTCTGGTTCTTACATTATTATACTGTTCTTGATATTTGATTGTTTTTTATTCATCCTCTTGAACCAAGGATCTTTCGGAAACAACCTCTCTGCCCCTCAAGGTAGGGGTAAGGTCTACGTACACTCTACCCTCCCCAGACCCCACTTGTAGGATTTCACTGGGTTTGTCGTTATTGTTGTTGTTGAAGCATAAAATGTTTTAAGCCCTGTCCTCTAAGGTTGTGCACTTGTATACTTATTAATCATGTTTTACCATGTTAGGTCCTAAAGAAGATCAAGAAAAATTGGTGGAATTGAAATTATTATCAGTTGAATTTGATGATCATGTGATGAACAATCAATCATCAATATCTTCCAAATTGAATGAGATTGAAGAAGATAAAGTTCCAGAAACGCCAACTTCTATCGATAGCTTCTATCAGTTGCATAAGAAATTACTACTCCTTGAGAAGAAAGATTCAGGAAATGAGGAGTCTTTGGATGGAAGTGTAGTTAGTGAGTTAGAAGGCGGAGATACAGTTTCAACGATCGAACACTTGAAATCAGCACTTAAAGCTGAGAGAAAAGCTCTACATACTTTGTATACAGAGTTAGAAGAAGAGAGAAGTGCTTCTGCTGTGGCTGCTAATCAAACAATGGCTATGATAAATAAACTTCAAGAAGAAAAGGCGGCGATGCAAATGGAAGCTTTGCAATATCAAAGAATGATGGAAGAACAATCAGAGTATGATCAAGAAGCGTTGCAACTGTTGAATGAGCTTATGGTAAAGAGGGAGAAGGAAAAACAAGAGCTAGAGAAAGAATTGGAAGTGTATAGGAAAAGGTTAATGGAATATGAAGCAAAAGAAAAGATGAGGTTGTTGAAGAGAAGCAAAGATGGAAGTGCAAAGAGTGGATTTTCATCTCCCTCTTGTAGCAATGTTGAGGAGAGCGACGAGTTGTCTATTGATTTGAATCAAGAAGCAAAGGAAGATGACAGTTTTTACGGTCATCAATATGAAGATCAAAAAGTTCATGTTGATGCTGGTCTAGAATTGGAAGAATCGTTTGCTGATTTCGAAGAAGAGAGGATGTCGATTCTTGAGCAGCTAAAGATGTTGGAAGAGAAGCTTATAAATATGGACGATGAAGATGCAAAACATTTTGAGGATGTTAAGCCAATGGAAGATTCATATAAAGAGAATGGCATTTCTCATTTTGATGGACAAATAAATGAACATGCCAATGGTTTTTCGAGTGAAACGAATGGAAAACATCATCCGCTGAAAAAAATTGTCAATGTAGAAGGGAAGGGACTACTTCCACTTTTTGATGCAATGAGCGATGAAAATGGAGATGTTACACTAAATGGACACGAAAATGGCTTCCATTCTAACGGTGTTCATGACTCGTACATGACAACGTTCGATGTGGAAAACAAGAAGCTCGATGTGGAAGAGGAATTGGATCATCTACATGAAAGGCTACAAGCGCTTGAGGCAGATAAGGAGTTCCTAAAGAACTGCATTAGTTCATTAAAGAAAGGCGATAAAGGGATGGATCTTCTTCATGAGATTTTACAACATCTTCGTGATCTTAGAAATGTTGAACTTCTTGTTAGGAGCTCAAGTAATGGCCTCATGGTTTAGTCGAGTACTAGCTCAATTGTCGCGCCAATGAAGATAACTGGTAATTTTGCTCTCTTTTAACTCAAGAATGTCATATATTTTGAAATGTCTATCACATTGTCTAACTTGTGTCATCTTTTTCTTGGCAATTTCAGGCCATGATCTTGGAGTCCTTGGCAGCTATTTAACTAAAATGGAAACTCAAGAATGCAACTGAAATATACGGAACAGCTGATAAAAGCTCTGCAGTCATTGCAGAAGTTTTTGGAAGTTTAAATCCCTATCAGGCCCTGGAAATGGTCTGAGCATTTTGGTTATAATGGTAAGGCACCAATGTTTTTGATGTCTATCTAACTTTTTGTTCTCAAGCTTCAATGGTCATTTGTCAAAGTAAAACCCAAAATTTTGGGCAGAAATTGGGGTCAAATTTCCACCTTTTGTGGGCAAAAGGAGGGAAATGATGAATGAGTGTGTAGTCCAGTTAGGATGAATCCATTCTGTAATTTTTAAATTCTACGGAAATGCTGCGTACAATAGACCTTTGCCCGCACATAGCGGGAGTTTAGTGCACCAGACTGCCCTTTTATAATAGTGTTCGAGTCAGATTGTGCGCATCTCAACTGTTTCGTCCGATACACTGGTATTGGTCTGTCTTTTGTATGTTGTGAAAGGGAAAAAGCATACTGGTTTACAAAGCTGGAAAGGTCCAGCAAAGATTCCAGTTCCAGGCATTTGTACTTGTTTATTGTAGACAATTAGGACTACAAACAATTTTCTTGTCTATTTTTTTCTAAGGCATAGAGGGGAAAGTAACTTCTTTATTACCTTATCTCTCATCTTTTTCATCATTTCATCACATGAGATTTGTTATTGTTTTAGAAGGCAAAAGTTGTCTAGTTGTACACTACATGTGTCCATTTGTAAGTATGTATCTAACTAAAGAGTGTGTGTTTTCTTTTTAATTCTGTTCCTTTTCCTATCTTTTATTATTTGGACAGTCTGTTTTTCACTATTTTCTTTGTTGTAAAGTTCATTCTAAAAAAATGGATGTACAAAAACTACACTATCTATATATTAATAATTGAATAGTACTTAGTAAAGAGAGAAGGAAAGCTAAAGATTGCTTTCAACAGATTGTTTTGCTTTAAGTCACTATAGTAGATAGGGAGTGAGAGACAAACATGCATAATTAGTGAAACCAAAAAGGGGTTTAACAGCTAAGAGGGTGGGTCTAAGGCATGATTACAAAAGTAAGTTTGTTTATATGCAAGCTAAGAGCCTAATCATTCTTAGCATATTTTAATGTTATTTTAGGACACATTATGAAGGTTCATGAGACATAAAATAATGACTACTGTCTATATTGCTTGGACTCTTCAAAATGTCGCCAAATGCGTACCGGATCCTCTAAAAATAATGTATTTTTAGAGAATTCGACATGAGTGAGAAAATATTTTGTAGAGTCCACAACGCGGCCTTCCTCTATACCTTGATATCATAAAGGCACAGAACTTGTTTGAGGTGTAGTCCTTTCAAAATTGTAATGAAGCTAAAGTTTTAGTTGGTATTAGTTTCAAATAAGTTTGAAAAACTTGTTTTGCAAAATATTTTCAAATTTCAATCAAATAACAAGATAGAAATTTTAGTTTTAAATTTTGTAAAAAGTTAAAAACTTTGAAACATCACTTTCATGTAGTTTTAAGTTGTTGCAAAAACTGAAAAACTTATCTTTCATGATGTTTGATAAACAACAAAAACAATAAATCCAATGGCATTTTACAAGTGAAGTATGGAAAGAATAATGTGTACGTAGAACTTATCCTTACCTTATGAAGGTAGAAAGATTATTTTTATAAAAAGAACTAAACTAATTTCGGTTTAAACTTTTTTCTCAGATTCTTGAAGCCAACGAAATCGAGAATAACGTAACCATTTGTATCATAAACTTTACTTTCTCCTAGAATGTAAATTTGACATAAGTTGATGTGATTTCAGATTAAGGTATTTCTTTTTATCTGTACTTGTTTTTCACTAGTAGAATAAATAACATTTTCCTATTAAATCTAGTATCATTCTTGGATTTTTTTTTTTTAATTATCTTAACCTCTTTGTCTATAACAATTTCCCACAAAACTATAATATTTTCAAGTGAATACATATTCAAACATAATTTTAATTTTCAAATACTTTTTTTCAACTTAACTTATTTTTTTCTTCTTTTCAAATCTCACATTTTAATGTCCAAACTCCTACTGGTGTTACAAATTAACAAAGAGGGAAAGTGTGAGAAGCAAAATTGACAATCACTGGTTTGTTAGTATAGTTGGTCTACATGCTTATTATCGATTTGGAGATGGGCGAACGAAATCCACTTATAATAAGATGATTTATATTCGAGCTCTGAGAATGAAAAATTCGAAATAAGAAGTGTTTCCTTTTTATATCTATTATCGTATACGTCATAATTTAAATTAATCGGCCAGTAAATTTTAAATGCCAAATGACAAAAAAAAAACTCAAATATCATAATTGATCGAACTTCTTTCTAACTAAAGTTTAATTCCACCTTAACGTGTGAGAAAGTACTAAAATAATTACACCTGTATGAAAAGAAGAAAGAAACTAACTTCTTACTCGGTTTGAGTTTTACCAAGTAATTATTTGATACCTAGTACTACTGGCCCTCAAGATGGGAATGTATAATTGTAGAAACATTATGTTCTACATTTTGGATTTATTTCCCACCGGACCATAACATATATTTTCCACTTAATTGAGACTAATAATGGTTGTATTATTTTTGTACATATCCTCTATGACAAAATCCAACATCCACTAACTAATTCAAATTAATTCTAGTATATTTCCTTTCTCTTCTTTTTTTTTTTTTTTGGTTCTTTCAAATCTTTCATCTGCTTGTAATGGTAAATTTAATTCTGTAATTTTTCCATTTAGTAAAAGTAGGTAATATTATTGCATAATTGTAAGTATATCAAATAATATAATGTTGCTGCAATATCTACAGCGAGATTGCACATGGAAATATCCAACCAATTCCTAATTTACACACGCAATTTGGATTTTTTTAATTAATAAATAAAGAAATTAACATATTTTAAACCTATCACACAGACTACATTAATCCCTAAAGTAATGGTTTGTAAATATTCTTAAATATTTTAGTTAAAAGCAATTAGTTTTTTTTTTTTTTACTAAGAGGCCATAAGATACTGTTTTGACATGTTCTGCATTAGTTAGAATTATAAGTAAGATTCCAGTCACATAGATATTAGAAGGGCAGTCCGATGCACAAGACATCTTGCTATCACAATTCAATTTAGAATTATGATCGGCGCTTGAGAGCAAGTGCCCCCAAGTAAGCCTCATCAATTTTACAGAAAATCGGACAGAATTATCCCTGTTTCAGGACTATCCAAAAGTTTTTCCGTCTCCTAAACAAATAACAACCAACCAATGTTCACTTAAATCAGTCAAATCTTCATGAACTAACCAAAAATGAGTTTTCACCAACATTACCAACATAACAATACTAAATCCATCTCAAAAATACACAAAGAAAGTGTAATTAAACTCTTCGCCCACACGAAAAAGTGCGGGGATCACCAGGATCTATCGAAATCCTCGCTCACATAAAATACTGCCTATGTAAAAGAAAATAGCGGGGAGTGAGTCGCTAGCTTAGTGAGTAATAACACTTAACCACAACCGTTTTTAATGGGAACGGGTAAGAAAACGTGCTAGTATATTAACCAAAAAATATCATAAGAATGCCCTTTCTAAAACGGTAAATATAATCAGTATATTCATGTGTTTATGTAATATAAATCAATTTAACAAATTGGTAATTAACTCAGTAAACACTGTGTCATAGCAAATGTTTATATTCGGGAGGTTTCCAAGAAAGGATCATGTAATTTGTATCACTGTGTGGACCCCTTCATAAAAGGAGCCAAATATAACGGTAGATCCATTATAATACCTCACATTTAAATAAGGGTTGTTAAGTAATTACCCCAACCCCCCCCACCCCCCACCCCACCCCCCCCCAAAAAAAAAAAAAAAGAAATACAGTTAAGTGGACTGAGACCAACCAAGAAATAGGTTACGAGAGTTATCAAAATATGGGATTGAAACTTTGCCTTCAACTAAGCAAAAACAATGAGGAATTTTAGAGAGGAGTTCTAAAGTTCTCTATTAGCAGCGTTGGGTAGCAACTAATTAGAAGCAAGGTGAAATCTTTCATTAATTATATTTTAGAAAAGATAACACAGAGCCTGGGATGCATTCATATCACCAAGGAACCTTGGAGAGTAACAAATTAAAAGTCACACAGTATCACATGAGAGCTCTAAACACTCTATGTATTGTGGGTACCGTTTAAACTCTTTATTTTAGTTATGTGGACAGATTCTTTAATAATTTCTTTTCTGAAAATTAAGCAATTCATATAGATTGGGAATAACTTATTTAAATACCAGAAAGAGATAAAGTTACTGGTGTATATTTGAGTGAAGAATTCATTGAAGAAACTATCTTGACACAGATATGGTGCAATTAGTTATTTAAGCAAGTTTTAAAATTTTCAAAAGCAATTTGGAGCAGTATATTTTGTACAGTAACTTGCCTTATTACTCTCAGAATATACATATGATTTAAAGGAATGCGATTAAGGTATACAACTATTTTCACGTGATCTGGACAAATTCAACTTGATAAATTGATAATCAAACATGAAACTTCAAGAGTTGGGTATTCTAAATTAGTTACGAATTAGCCTAAACAAGAAAGTTAATTCGATAACGATATGATGTGATTATAAATTGATTGGAGGAAGTCGTACGAATCGCTCGAGGTGACGGGTTTGATATTTCGACACGAGTAGTAACTTTACCGCAATTTGTGCTTTCATGACTTACATGATTTACACATGATTTTTAACATGAACTTGTTATTGATTATTTTGAATTTGCATGCGGGACAAGTCCTTTACTCGATATGATACCAAAATAATTGTTTGCGATGATTACAGTTATTATAAATATTCTCGCTGTTACTAGATATGTTTTACCGTTACTTGAGATATGATTACTATTACTGAACGAAATTACATAATTTGATAAGAATTGAAAGGCCCTATACTATTTTGAAAATGCTTCCATGTGAATATTTACTGTTTACAAAGAAAAGTATAAATATGAGTATGTGACACCCTAAACGAATCTCACATCAACAAAACACGAGAGAGATGCTAGGTATATAAGTAGATAGTCCTTAGACCTTAGTGATGAATTTTAAAGTCGTGCGGGCCCAGGCCCGAAGAGGACAATATCACTAGTGAGTTGGGCTGTTACATATGATATGAGAGTCACTCCGCGTGCAACCTTCAACGGTGGTGGGGCAAACCTCAGCGTCCTCGCTGAGTCCCTAGGGGAGTGTATGTGACACCCTAGGCGAATCCCACATCGATAAAATACGGGAGAGATACTGTGTATATAAGTAGACACGCGTTAGACCTTAGTGATGTGTTTTAAATCCTGAGAAATTGCCAATAAAAAAACATGCTTATTGTCCATAGCCTCAACTCAAATATAGTATAACCACTACGGGATAGATGTGGTGAGATTGATGCATAAAATTCATCAACTTCTAATCAGATAGATTTATATTCGAGATTTGAGAATGAAAAATTCGTAATAAGAAGTGTTTTCCTTTTATATGAATCATATACAATATAATCTGAATTAATCGGCCAGTAAATTTTAAATGTCAAATGATTAAAAAAAGCTCAAAAATCATAATTGATCAAGGTTCCTTCTAATCAAGGTTTAATTCCACCCTTTACGTGTGAGAAAGTACCAAAATAATGAAGAATTTATGATTCGAAGATGAACAATTGAGCTAAGAAATGAGAGAAAACAGGGGAAGAAGAAAGCTGGTCTTT